CCCCCCCAAAAAAAGAATGGTAAGGAAGGCCCATTTTGCAATGATCTCACGGCAAAGATGTCAACATCAATTTCTCCTTCATGCATAGCTAATGATCAGGCAAACAAATTCCATACCTCTGCCTTACACCAGTGAAAAATCTTTTTTTCACTGGTGTAAATCTTTTGCAAATTTTTGTATGGATGAGTAAGGAAATCTCAATGCAAATGTATAGGTATATTGGTAACATTTATTTTAAAAAATGTTGATTTCTAACTTTTTTAAAGCAAATAACAGTTACTTGATGATTTTGTTCATTTAACACATTTTACCAAATAACCTAAACTTCAATGTACAATCAAGTATATTTTACCATCTGAGAAAGCTAGGTTAATTTCTTACATTGTATATAGGTAAAGACATCAGAAAGATTTGAAGAACAAGTGACAGAAATACAAATATATTTTTATCCGGTTGTATGTTCAAGTCAGTACAAAACAAGCATACAACAGATAAGTAAAATTTGATTTTTTTTTTCTTGTCATCTTGTCATCAATGAGATCAATGCACCACTGAAATATCTTTAAATGCTTTTTTAACCTACTTCTAAAAACATACAGCCTTTAAAGTGGGTAAGAGACTTGTATAGCTATCATAAAGCTTGTGTTTCTACATATTACATATTGCTTTGGTATTTTCTGAGGGAAACCAAAGAGAAAATGCTGATAAGTTAATAAGTTGTTTTCAGGGAGAAATAACCTGGAGGAGACCAGGTTTTGCCAACATTTTCTTCGATACATTCACTTTGCATCCATTGTCTATATAGTGACACCCCCATAAACTGGTGTCCGCTTGAACAAAATCTGATGTCACCATTAAGACGCCAAGATTTGAATAATCCTTGGGTACCCTTTAAATATTGTATATTGCATTTTGGAATAATTACATAGTTCATTAAGATCTGCACCCAGTACAAAAACTAACAAAATTATAGAAGACATGGCATATCCAATCTCTTATTTTTCACAACAATAAACTCCTTGCAGGCAATTCTCCTTTCTCTTTTCTACAATGGGGTGACAAAGGAATTAACATTCTATCAGATATTTTTAATGAGCGTTATCTTTGGTTATTCAAGCACTTGGAACTGCAATATGAGCTTCCGGGTTCTTCTTTCTTTCGTTACTTACATCTCCAATCTGCAATGCATTCTTACTATGTTCCTTGGGGGTCTGTACACCCAGAGGAAAATCAAGTTTGACTTCAGAGGCAACACGAAGGGATTTGTTTTCCCCTTTTTTATGTCTGTTTATTACAAAAGTCATAGAAACCTGCAGAAAGTTGCAGGTAAGGCCAGCTCCTGGGATCAAACAAATTCAGACTCAGGACATCCTAATCATCAGATGATCCACTTAAATTTCCGTCATGGAAATACATCTGACTCCTCATACATATTGTCACCTAAAACTAGTTCCTAGTCCTCTATGCTGTCTGTGGAGCTCCATAGGTACCCTTTTACATGTTTAAGGATGTCCTAAGGTTGATAAGTTTTCTAAAATGTTCTCTTTGTGTTTGTTCAAAATAAGGATGTTCTCTGTTCACACTTGTTACTCTGGTTGTGTGATGATCTGGGCCTCTCACAGCAGCAGAAACAGATCTGGTTGGATGGTCTGACTGCAGCTAAAAATTTGCTGGCGCCTCTTTAGGAGCCTCTGCATTCCCTCTCCTGGTATTACTGGATCCTAGCCTGTCTTGATATTATTTATATGGAATTTTCAACTGCTAGGATCTGTGGTGCCAACAGGGGGGCAGTGGAGGATTAGAGTGCTGCTGCTGAGATGGTCAAAGCCTACATTGTAGCTGTTTAGACTGTATTTTGGGGTCCTTAGGTAGGAACTTGAAAGGATGTACCACTGAAGGTGGTGGGGGATGGGTGAAGGCTTTTTGTGTAGGATGGGGAATTGTTATTTCAATGCAGTAATTTGTCATATTAGGAAAATAAATTGCTCACAAAAAAGGAAAACAGAAGATGCATTTTAAGCATCTGTAAAAGAAAGTATTTTTTCTTTGGAGCATGTCCTTAAGTAGGTCTGATAAAGGTCTTATAAAGTAGAATTATATATAGAAAAACATACTTCTTCTACATAACTATATAGACGAAATACTATATATAGAAAAATGCATATAAGATTAGTTTAAAAATGTGAAAAAAGCTTACAGAAAATAAGGTTGCTGTTTCTAACTTGTGCATACCGGTTCTTTAGCAAAAGTCATATCTGCCTTATCTTAACTAGAACCATGCTGTGAAAATTATTACTTGATTATAAATTAGATAAAAACAAAAGAAAATGAAGCTTAGAATTGCACCTACTTAGGAATCATTTGAAAGCTCTTCTGCAGACATTATGTAATCAGAAACATTTTAGCAGTCTGTGGAAAGTGCAAAGGAAATGCAAGACCCAAAGGGCTGCTGAGACTTTTGTTTGAAGGAAATGGTTTGATTTTCAAGCCGCACACCTTTTAATGCACAGCAGAGGGGTTTTCACATGCAGCTTTTCACTGATAAAACCCAGGGGCTATCGCTGCTCTTCTGTTGTGTCTTGTATTCTCTGCACTGTGAGCCTGAGCTGGCCTAACACAACCTATCTGTTCTATTTCACATCTTAGCCCGGACCCTGTTGACTGGCTAATAAAATAGGGCTTTTCTGGGGGTGGGGGGAACAGGGGGAATGGGAAAGGGAAGAATCTGAGCAGGGGCTTTGGTTGAGGAAACCAATGGCATCGAAATATTCGTGGTGTTGTAGGCAGAGTTAGAGTCAAAAATGCTTCAAGCGTTAACATAATTGCAAGAATGTGAAAAATGAAGTGTCGGGCTCCTGAGCAAAGCAAAAGGTCAGTGCAAGCCTTGCACAAAACAACTCTGTGGAAGATGGCCTCATTAGACCATTAAATCAGCTTCCCTTTCTTCCCTTTTGTCTCCAGAAGATGTTTTCATTGTTAGATTTCTATTAATGGTAGTTTTAACCCTTTAGCTGTTCCCTTTCTCAGCCAGCACTGCAGTGCACAGTAACTGTCTTCTCTTACATTGATCAACAGTTACAGGATCTGTACTAGAATGCAGTCGATAAGTGCTCGGTGGATTACAGGTCACTTGTACTTATGCGTGTAAGATAATCAATACACAGTAGATTTTTTTCTCCCTGCTGGCTTTGCCAGTGATGGCATAGAAGAAAAAAAACAACGGCGCTACATAAAAAAGAGCAGACAAACATGAATCAGATCAGCCTTACTTTTCATTTCTTTGGCGCGACATATTTTTCTTAAATAATTTGCCAATTAACCTTTTGTAAAAGAAACAAGAATGATCAGCAATATCAGACAGAAAAAAGGAAGACAGGCTGTTCTGTTTTTAAAATTAGAGAAGAATATAAGAACTTGGCTTTACTTTCAGCTTTAAAGGACCACAAATCGTATGTTTAATCATTAGTAATTAATTTAAATGACTTCATGATACCTTGCCAGAAATATACATATATTAAATACTGACTTAACTAACATTAGTGGTTTACCTAGTAAAAAATACATCAATAAATCTGATTATATGGCCAAAGCTGAGGGTGGATGTTGTGATAGAACATGACATAGAAAGCAAACCACAAAGCTGGACCAGGTTTACATACTGCCTATAAGTCAGGGCTTGTGGTTAATTACAGTTTCAATTAACCACATTACCACGCAAAGTAATTCATATCCACTACGGTTTCCAGCCTTCCAACAAAACTAATAAGATCAATGGGTTAGACCTCACTTTCCCAAAAATGACTGCAGTTTCCTTGCTTCCTTTTCTCTCACATGACATAGTTCCTAGATGTATTTAGCTTTACAGAAACATAAGCCTATAAACCTCAGAAACTGCGCATTGATCTTAGCACAGATCATTATAAAAATACAATCAGACCTCATAGTGTGCCTTAAAAGGAAAACCATAAGTAAAAGTTTAGCTGAGTACAAAAAACAAATCACAAGTCATTGATAGATTACACTCAGCAGCTTTGATTAGTTTCAGATAAGATCTGATTCCACAATAAAAACAACAGACAAGTTTAAATTTTGTAACAGTATTACCTGCTTTCTCCAAAAGCAATGTCTTTCAAGGTAATGCCTATGTTAGTGAGTCTGAAAAAAATGTTTTTACAAATATAACGATCTTATAAGGTCATATCTGCGTGATTATTTCAAGATAAAATGTTAGCTGTGGGTTCTTTAAAGGATTTCTTGTCAGGAAAACAAAAAACAACACTGAGAACTGACCCTGAAGAGCCTGATGTTGGGACAATATAAATGTTTGGAAATATAGGTGAAAAAAAGAATATTACACATACAAAAGAGCAACAGAGTTGCTACCAGTGTGTTAAATGGTATTTAAAGTTCACAAAACAATAACTATGCTGAGCCAACCAGAATTATCCAATGAAAATCTTAAAACTGAATCTCTTAAAAAGAAAACAAAACCTTACAATGTACAAAGTTAAGCAAACAAAATGAGTTCACCACCGTAAAGGCAATTTAGTTGTAAAAAAATACTAGAAACTGGTGTTGTGCAATTGCTTTACACAGTATGTACACTTAAGTCCTAGATATACAGATTACAGAAGGGAATATACCGACCTTTTCTAGCTATAATTCTTACAATGACGCTCAGGCAGTTAATATATTTTAAATGCTAGTAAGAACTGTCAAAACACATGTAAGCATTCAGGTTGAGTTTAGTTACAAGTTTCCATTGCTTCTAGTTCTGTTTAGCTTCAAATAACTAGTGTTTAGAGCGCTTAAAAAGGAATACATATTATATATAAATATTATATACATTTGAGTGAAAGGGGGATACCATTCCTCAAAGCTATACAAACAAAGGCATCTTAACCACTCACTTTTATATTTACAGTCCCAAACACACAGGGATATCAAAGATGCTGGATTATTTCAGTCTGGCCTGCTTGGTGGGAAAGGAGGGCCCTTACCTTGCTCGCTGCTGTTGTCCCCACTTTGTGAAGCGTGACCCCCACTGGAGGGTCCTGGCGTGCCTGCCGAGTGCGTTGAGGTTGCGTCATCGTGATCTCTCCAAGACGCTGGGTTCTGGCGTGAGGGAGACAAGGAATGTTTTCCACGTTCCCAGTTCCAGCCGCAAATCAGGAACAGAAAGCAGAAGAGGGAAAGAAAAGAGAAAGGAAACCCATTAGCGTGCTTGAACTGTAACACTCGCTTTTAGGATGAAATAAGCAGGCGACACACACAAGACAACGTATCTTCAAGACCTTTGCAAGAATTAGCTACTTAATTGTTGCAGAAGGAGCACTCTCTGCATGTCACGTCCCACACAGCAAATTCTTTTTCTATCACAATGAAGGCAGTTTTACAGTACAACTAGAAAAACATGACAATAATTCAGACTTTGCTTTTTTTTCAAACCCAAACTTTAAAAACAGATATTCACACTAATAACCCATCGTTCCAGAATATATATATATGTAACACAACCATATTTGTTGATCATTACCAGAACAGAGATAACAATATTAATACATTCACATCTGACACAGAATATCCAGAAACAAAACATAAGTACATATAATTCAGTATTTGGATAATTAAATCAAAACGTTTTACCATACCTAACAACAGTTCCTTAAGATTTAAGAAAACATACACCAATCTGTGCCAGTAAGGATTACCAGTGGTTTAAATGGAAACCAGCAAGACAAGTTCTCCTTCTATGCTTGCACAGACAAAAAAGGTAATTTTGTCCCACAATGACAGTTTGCTTCTTAGACAGATAACTGCTACAAACAGAAAGTTGAAGCTTCAGAACTGCTCCACTGACTGTATTCTCCTCCCTTTCCTGGTCATTTCCAATACCCTGCTGGTGCTTAAAGCAAAAACAGGATTTCTACTGTACAGGAAAGGCTTTATCTATGCCACATGAAGGCAGGCAAGAGATGGAATTTCCTCTGCCACAGAAAGAGTGAAGGCACACATGAATCACATCAGCCTGAGGTCTGGAGTTGTGCTCGGACATGTCACCTGCATGTGACAACAAAATGGCAGGGACCAGATTAATCTCAGCTAAGAAGAACACCCTTGAAAACCACCTAAACAAAACAAACACAGGCCCAAAGACAGCTTGCCACAAACCTCAGCTGTTTTTTTTTCCACAAAATCAAAAAACGACTGCGCGCACCACAAGAAAAATGATGCAAGAACACGTTACCATTTTCTAAATGCAAATATATCCTTGTTAGAGCTGTTATGAAGCTCCTTGCATGAGAACTAAGTTGTTAAGAAAGAGAGCTGGAACCGTCAGAAGCAAAGTGCAGAGATTTAGCAACTTCCCCCAGTGCCTAGTGCTTGTGCAGGAGCTGCGCCTGTGAGCTCCCCTTTTTATCTGTAAGTTAGGAAAGCACTCAAATAGCTTCAAGCTGAAGGCAAACAGCAGACAGGGGCTCTTCAACCCTCTGCAGCCTCTTAGCGTCAGCTGTTTGCCGGATGGTAATCAGATAAAGAGCTCGAAGAATTACATGAAAAAGAGCAGAAACAATAGCTCGGCATGAATTTAGCCCTCCACAACGAGCAAGAACCTTCCTTATAGAAAACAGAATAATTGCAACATGTCCACCTAGGCCACAGCTAGGAAAAGGAGACATAGAGTGCCGTTAATTTATGCACTGAGGCCTTTTTTAAACTGTCTTTTTTTTGTTACAGATCCGTACCACAGATGTGAAAATTACATTAATTATCTAGTAACACCTCCTTTATGTTTCTAGGCAAATGTCATAAAAAAACCATCATGCAATCCATGCAGGCCGAGCCAGGCTTTGTGTTCGGAAAATGCACTCTTGTTGTTTTAAGCAAAGAAAATGACTGGGTTCAACTTCCTACAGCTGAAAACACCCACTGCTGCCTACCCTGCACACTGGCCTTCAGCATTCATTCTGCAGAGCCCAGCGCAGCACATTCGTTTGAGCCTGAATGGATTTTGTGTGACATAAAGTTAGAAGAAATAAGTGTTTTTATGGACTCACAAAGCTAAACAAAATAACAACCTCTAGGAAAATCTAAATACAGTTTTTGAATGGTCTGGGTGTACACACGTAAGAGCACTTATTACTTTCATATGGATTTTTTTTAGAGAAGCCTACATGAGACTGGTTTCAAAACAAATCTCACATTTCTCCGTGCTGACTTTCTCTACTCCATATCTGGGTGAAGGGGACTGCTGTTCACTACTTTGTGATTAATCGTTCAGTGAAACTCCTCATACTAGGAGGCGTTCTTTTCAAACAGAAGGTTAGTATCAAAACAGTTGTCAGATCCTTAAAAGTGAATTAAAGTTTAAGCAAGTCGTGAAACTACATCAACCACAGCTTCACCAAAGCTGTAGAAAAGTGCAAAAGCAAATTGCACACAAGTGACAATTCCCAGTAGCTTCAATAATTAGAAGTCAAACATGGTTCGCTCCTTGCTCTTTCCTAATTGTGTTAAAGAGCACAGTTACCAGGAGAAAAGAAGCAAATACCAAGCACAGCACAATAGAAGTAGATGGAAAATAGATACAAGAAGCCAGGTCTCCAGGGGCAGCATTTTCTATTTGCTGGGTTACAGACTCACAGCTGATAATGCAAGTTGTAATTAATATAAAAGCAGGAGACAATATGGGAAAAGCTTGTACTAGCTAGGCCACAGGAGAACACTCTGTCGCTATCCACTGTTTCTCATTTACACACACCGCCTTGCTTTGAAAACACAATTTTGCCAGTGTTTTTGTCCCTTGGAATTTAAAAAAAATTGATTTAGCACCATCATTGAATTTTTTTAAACCCAGAAAAGAGGAGGAGAGAAAGGACATGGGTCTCTTGGTATATGAAAAAAATCCACGTTTCCTCTGTAGATGGTGAAAATTCAGTGTTGGGAAATGTATACAATTGAAACATTTTCATTTCATTTTCATGGAAACAGATCGCAGATATTTACATGCCTATGTGTATATAATATGTCATTATCACAGCATCCAACAAGGGGGCATTTATAGCCGATGAGACATTTCTATACCACAGCCCAACATTAAAAAGCTGGAGGGACTACATGAAAAATGACCCCTAATGCTGATGTTAAAACACATCAAAAGTATAAATCTTAACAGGATGACATCTCATGATGGATCTTGTCACAGCACATAGCCAGCAAAACGTGTTCCACGTCTTTGTGTAATTTAAAAAAAATAATAATTACATAGAAATTCTGTAAAGAAGCTGAAACAAACTTTTCCTTTCTATTAGCCAACATCATATTTATAACACTATCAATTACGGAACAAGTGTAAAATTAAACATGCTCCTAAAATATACAGCCAAGTGTTTTAAGAAGCAGTACTGTGTGCATGATTTTTCCAAGTGTTAAGCAGATTAGCCTTTCCATTCCAGATTTAAAATTTTAAAAGGATGCATTTTGATCTTCTCAAAATACGCAAGTTAGATAAGAATATCAGCTAACAACAACTACACCAGCTGTGATGCATTTTTCTGTGATACAGAAATCCATCCAAACCAAATGAATTACTAGCAATTTTGCCAAAATCCAAAGTAAAATTAATATATAGCATGTACATTCATGAAGGCATCAAATACTCCATGTCCCTCTATGCCTTGACCTCTGCACTAAAGTGTACTATTGTAAACTGTCTGGATTTTTTATTATTATTATTATTATTATTATTATTATTATTATTATTATTATTATTAGTGTTGTTCCATTTCTTACAAAGGTATGCAATCAAAAGGGAATGCAACAAGTCTGCATAGCTCGTGTGCAGTAAATCGCACGGAACTCTGCCAGTAGGCAGAGACATTTCTAGGCTAATTTAAGAAGATATGTAGAATCAGTGATCTTCGTCTTATAATGAAACTGCCCAGAGCAATAAACACACTGGCACAATCCAGTGTTTTTGTGAAAGGCCCTAGACAAAGCTAGCCTACATGTGCTACTTTTTTTTTTCCCAAACAAGAGCTCTAGATTTAAAGAGGGGATCCAGAGCAAGGCTATGTTTGTGCTCCAGTTCAAAGAAAAGGCGTTTAGTCACTTCAAGTCAATGGGATATGCAAATAAACTGGGGGGTAAAGCGGAGCTGTGTGGTTTCAAACGCCACAGCCAATACAATTTTCTCTTTAGGCATAAATACAAAAACATTATTGCTCTAAATGGTTTACACAAACATTGATAAATCTGCGTTGCTGGCAATGTCTCCAATGTCTCACGACTGCAAATGAAACATGCATAGTAGAAATGTTTTTGCACAGCCAGTGCATGGCTTTAATAACCCATACATAACCTTTGAAACAACGACAACCAAACAGCCCGAAGCATTAAAGGAGAACCAAGAATGACAAATACAAGGCCAAAAATCACACCTTATTTCTTTTGTTGGAGTCTGAGAATTAGTCAACAGGCATTGCTTCTTTTGTGAGCCACTCGGAAAAATAAACAGCGCAGCCTACACGCGTCTTCACTTTAGAAAAGGTAGAGGCAGAAAGGCATGTTCATTAGGAAAGATAATATTCAGTTACCATTAATTTGCTGGCTTAATTAGATGTAGCTCAGGGAAAGAGAAAAAAATCTCATTTCAATAATTGAAAGACAAGCTGAGACAATACAGATAAATGGCAAAGCTTAACTGATCATTAGAAATCCAGCAAAGGAGCATTTTTGAGGCTTTCCTGTACAACACCATGAGACAATATTTTTAAGATGTGTGTGTGTGTGGAAGGAGGGAAGGGGGCTGTAACAGGAAACAATTGCAAGGAATCACTCCCTTACAAAGGTATATCAAAGGACTTCTTTTCATTACCAATGTTTTAATCCAATCAGCTCAAAGACAATGCTGCATTCAAGTGCAAATAAAACAGCACTTATTAGGACCTACCATCAGGTGAAAAAAAGCCAGGGAAAAAGAACACAACAGGCTGTCTCCTCTGTTGTGGAGTCGCTCATCATCTCCACCATACCAACTTTCACCAAATGAGATGTAGCCTTGGGCTATGTATTAAAAATGCATATCAAAGCAAAGAAAAATGGACGTGAGAGATTCTAACTAAATAAATTAGCATATCTAACTATTAAATTGCCTTTTCCTCTCCGACTAAAAGAGAAGCTAGTTATGAATAATAAAATGAGGGGGGATACTGAAACTTCTTGCCATCAAACAACATATTTCCTTTATACCTCTCCAGCTGTAAAATGTGATGTCCAACATAAATCTTGTACATGTCACCTACCTTTTTGATGCCGTTATCTAAAAATTCAAAATAGGGACATGCGTATTCCTTTTGATAATAGAACCATGTCAATAAATCACTGCATTTTGCATTCTAATTATATTTAACACATTACCACATTACAGACACTTTTTCATTATGCTCATCCTTCTATGTTTCTATACCTTGCAATACAACCTAAGAGATGCTGCATTACATTCAAGTCATTGTTAATCAAAAGTACTGGCCATTGTTTAGTATACGTAAACATAAACTGTATTGATCATGCTGAGGGATTAAACAGTTTCGTGTTTAATTTGTACGTGAAAGTACTTTTATAATTTCCAAAAATATTTTTTCCCCAAACATATTACTCCAATTTACACTCATGCCATAATATGTGGCCACATATTTCAGTATATAAACCTGTATTTAAATTCATTTCCTTTGCTTGATATGCATTGGTCTGCTGTGGCACACAGTTCATAACAGCAGCAGAAACAACATAAATACGATGTTTGTTTCCTTAAAAACTGCCACATTCATTTCCAGCAGAATGGGATACACTTCTTTTGTATTTGTATGCCTGTAAAATGTTGTTTTGTATGTGGTAATAATGTTGTCCAAATTAATATTTTAGTGCGACCCCCCACCCCACCCACGAATAAACAACTAAGCTGAAATTAAATTCCATCAAAAATCATGTTCTTTAAGAATGTGCAGATCAGTGTTTGTTTGAAAGCCAATACTTGCAGTAAAATTTCCATTGCAGGAAAATAAAAGGCTCTAAAGTAAAATACCTAACAAAGTGGTTAACCTTAATGGGTTCAGGATAAATGGGTTGTCATACACATTCTGTCTTGGTGTTGGCAGCCCCGTTTCTCTGGAATCTTTAATTATCAAATTATCAAAATAATACTTTACACAATGGTCCAATGACAATGTCTAGATCTGAATATTATGAGGGAACACAGAAAATTGGCTTGTACCATCTGCCATCTGCCATGAAACTAAACAGCCTAGTTTATCTAATCTCTTCAGTATAAACAACAGCATGCCTCATTTCTACACTTACACTTGAAACAAACTACAGGATGAAGCTCTAACCAGAGTCCACAATACACCACAATTTTCTAATATTTCTAAATTCTTCTTCCGTAATCATTCGCTTTTGGTAACTCTGTAAAGAAGAAAGGCAATCTGAGCATTGCCAACCAACACTATTATACCAGACTTAACAGATGCAGTGAAGTGACTTTGCATAACACTTAAATCTGCTGTAATGCTTAATAGGCTTGGACATGTGCAGCTGATAGATACTAATCAGTCACTGTATCGCTATATACAGGCCTACCCAAAATTATACAACTGGTAACAGCACAACACTTTAAACTGAAATATAAATGTAATCTTCTCTTCGTTCCAGTTTTGACGACAGCGCCTCTAACTCATATACGAGTACAGTGCAACACATACTGTTGTACAAACGTTGTACGTAAAAACAGGACAGCTTTACTTCATTTAGCATAATTCTGTTTTTGCTTTACATATAACTTCAGAGTTTTTCTAGATCTATAACCTTTACATAACAAGCAAGAGTAGTCCAGCACACGATCAATATATTTTTAAATAAACAATTAAAAAAAACTTTGCTTGTGCAGCCAAGGAGTATAATCCTGCATTATGAACCTGACAGCGACGAATTGTACGCCTAAAATCAAAACTATAATTTTGACTTATAGCCTAAAGCCCAAAGCTTTGCACAACACAGGCGTTGATCTTTTTCTGCGCCCTTCCATTCTCACATTTCATCCATCTCCTTTTAATAATCTGATTTTGAAGTTTTACAGCTAGAATCTGGATTTTACTAGAGAATGGTTTAAGGAATCCCAACGTCGCAATTAGTGTGTTTAGCCTGTCTGACAAATCTTTACGGTTTCTACTTCCACCACCATATAATAGAGTTACTAAACACACAATGAACAGCAACCACGTTTACAACACTACAAATTAAATGTCTGACACAAACAAGCTACAACAGTTTATACAACATTAGTTCTTTCCTTTATACCTCCGCTGATAATTCAGTCTTTTGCAATGCAAAGGCAAGTGCTAAACTGGGAGAACTACCCCTAAATCAATCATACAGACTAAAACAGTTTACAACAGATCCCCTAACGTGTTTGTGACATCTTCAAATTAGCTAGCTCCAGGTAAATTCGACTATTCTAAAGGTTTTAGAATAGCCTTAGAAACAGCAGTAACAACACTAGTGTAGAATAGAAGGTTAATATTAACCGTCAAGTTTCCCACGCCGGGAACGAGCACGGAACCAAGTAGACCTGTTACATGTACTACTTGAAATAAACGTAGCAGTTTCACTTCACCATAGTATACAGCTGAAAGACGAAAATGATCCATATTTAAAATTATAATTCGAAACGCAAACGCGGTCCGCAAAAACAAGTATAACCCAACCAACTTACATGATCCGCTAAATTTGTTGAAGATCCTGAGAGTTCTTCGTGGTCCGATTTTGAGCTGCCATCCCGTTCGTCAATTACTAGATCAATTGGCATTTTTCCTTTCAAACAACTAATGTACCGATGGCAAAAGTTATCGCAAAGCTCGTGGACCTAAAACCAGAGAAGAATACCTTTTCAGGATGGGAAACTGCAGTCTAGTCCAAGAATAACTATAATTAAGGGGCATAATAGTCGAAGTCAAGGAAACAATAGTGAAATTGTTACAGCAGTTATTATTCTCAAGAGACTAAAGCAACAAGTTGAAAGGCAGAAAAAATAAACACCACATAAAAACTAGATAGATAATGCCTATGTAAAACTTAACTTTACATGTTTAAAGGCTTTTTAATTTACAATATAAAATACTATATATTGTTTAGAAAACAGCCCGGACTGCAGCCGCTAAATCTACGCATTTTTGCTGTTTCAGTTTTGATGTCCTTTGTACTTAAACTCCAGGACGAATCTTAAAATAAAATAATGTTAAAGCAAATCATTTGTTAGTCCTTTGCAAAATTCTAATCTAGTCGCGCACAGACTAAAAACAGAATGACTTGAGGTTTCTTCATTTCTTCGAATATCGCTGCAATATGTTTTGCGCCGCAGGCAAAATCTGAATTACGACAAAACTATTTAGATTAGACGCGGATTACCAATGCACTGAAGATTGCTTTTTTATATAAAAGAAATCATATATACACCTGACCGTAAACACAATTTTTTAACTTTTATCTATTGGAAATATAAAAATTTTCCCTTTACCTTTTCTAATTCCAAAAGATGAAATCGTAATACTTGTATGGCTTGTATCATCTGGAACAGAAAGAAAAACAAAAGTTGGAAATGCAGTCCAATCAATGATCTCAATTACTAATAATGAAAGTTATGGGTCTGATTCAAAACTACAAAAAAAAAAATAAACCGTGCATTGTGACATCGGTTTCTGAAAGTAAAAACAATACAGAAATAATTTCCTTGTGTATGTGTATACATACTGTACACTGTACTTGTTTCTCATAGTGGTGCTTACTAGACATTACCGTAAAGTGCAATGAAATAAAAAGGAATAATAATAAAAATATGTATTTCACTCCGTATTTCACAACTTACACTGCAGACCTGTCGCCTGCAAACAGCAATAACAGAAGCCAAGACAAACGACACGATTTTAAAGCAAACTTGCAAAGTTCCCGAACTTAAATAATCAGCATTACCCAAAGTAACAGCTCCAAATGCCCGATCATTTATCCTAAGCAGTAACTTCCTTCTCAATCTCTTAGCTGTGTAACGCATTGCCATTAGAGACCCCTTAGAGTTTTCTCTTGTTCACTTCAAAGAAAGCTTCCTAGGAAACATTTGTGTTGTGCTTTTAAAACCCAAACTTAGCATATTTACTTTGTTTGTTAGGAACAAAGACAAGTTTCAAAATACACATTAAGCAATATACGGAGGTCTGTCTATAGCCGGCTGTTTTTACAATGTAAAAGACAACAATCTTACCAAATTGTCCAACTCTGGATTTGAAGAAAATAAGGGTTTTTCTGCTCGAACCTAAAACAGTATATATAAAAACAAGTCAGGCTGTTTTCTGGATCATTTATCTTCATAGAGTAGAAAACGTCTTTTACTCATTTATCTAAACTTTAAATAAGTGAAAAGGCCACGTTACAGATAAAATCATATTAAATAATAAACATATACCTTATATTTGTATTAATATACTTTAGCGTTGAATTATCTAAATAAGAAAATAGAGTTCTTAATAAGTATGCTAAGCTGTTGGCTTTTATTTTGTCAAGTCTCAAACTTTTACGTACAAAAAAGAAAAGGAGCTAAAATGCAATGAAACATATGGCAACAAATGTCAGCGGTTATAACCGAAAACATTAACATATTCCGCGCGTTTTAAGATCTCCACAAAGTCTAAAACACTGGAGAGTTCGGATGTGAAAAAGTGACCTGTTTAGCAAAGACTGCGATGTCCTCGTTGAACGAGTCGGAGGAGCAGACATCGCCGCCTGCAACTCCCGGCTCTCTGGGCGTGCACGTCGCCAGCTCACATTTCTCAAAAACCAGCGCTAGCAGGGGAAATAACGGGTGACTGCAATGGGGGAAAACAGAACCTAAGCATAGATTCCATACGAAGATTTTTAAAAAAGCAAACTAAGCTCATCAGCCGAGAGAAAAGATATAACAAAATACACGTGTAAAAGAGCTAAACTTTTCGAAGTGATTTGGAATTCTAGCACTTACAGGCTTGTGAATATTACTGTGTTGTTCACCAGTTTGTATTTACACGTCGGCGTTAAACAGCAAGAACTTTAATAATGGTAGCGGGGATATTAAGGACTTCATATTTTCGAGTTAAACTAGAAATGGTTTCATTTATATCACGTCTCCAAAAGAAAAAAATAATAAGCTTAGCGAAACAGTTTATACCAAAACAGTACAAGTTGTTACATTATTCAGTAGGTACTCCACAAGTTTCCTAAACATTAACTTTTAACAATTGAAAAGTGTTATTTTACTTTCTTACTGTGCTCTCTTTCCAGTCTATAGTAAGATGATAAAAAACAAAATACTTCCTCACTCAAATCAAAACAAATAGCCTGTGTGTGTATCTTCGCGTGGGGGAGAGGGTCGGTGTAAGAGGTAGTCAATTGCAACTTTCTTAATTTATTAATTATTCCTAAATACAATTGTTACATTGCTACTTAGTTTTTGACTGTCAGTTCAAAAATACTTATAACAAGGAAAAAAACTTGGTATTTTAAAAAGGTAAAGTGACATAAAAAAGGTCACTAAAGATAGCCTTTATAGTTTATTTAGATATTTAAAATTATTTGTAAATAATGTCGTGTTTAATATCGCTTAAGCATATATAATCTTATTGTTATCTGTTAATATCCGAAAGTTTTAACCAGACTTTTTACGTAAAGAATAAAAGTTTGCTGTTTCTCTTTTACCTACCCATAAATTGCATCTTTATCCCTCTTTAAAACATCATTGACAGCAGAGCCCATGCTGGTTGGCATTACATTAGGATGAGGTGCGTGTGCACCATAATGCTGACTGGCATGTAGCGGTGGTCCATGGTTCAAGTGATGTACTTGGGGTAGCGGTCGAGGAGCATGAGGGTCTCCGTACATAGACGCTGGGACCCCCACAGCGTCCATTCCATAATGGGGTAGTTCATCGTACTAGAAAGGAATAGAGTAGAAAAAAGAGATAATGGAACAGATTTGAGGAAGACAAGACGAAAAGGCTAAACTTAGAAAGACAGTTCTTCTGCTAAAACACTCGAAAACACGAGTGTGTGCTTACAAGAGAAAACGTAAGTAATCCTGCGGAGCAGGGAAATCTTTCTGAAAAAGTAATACTTCCCTCGAACAAAAAAATAAAATAAAGAAATGTAAAAGTCAGAAATTACCAAAAACATTTTAAACCGCATTCCCTTTAGAGCCGGGTCTTTTCATTAAAACCAGCACATTATTTAAGAGTCCCTTTAAAAACAGCTCTATGCTTTCAGCGGAGATCGCCGGCTAACCAGAAATTGGCACGAAGCTCGGAAAGTAAAGGTACTGAAAAAACATAGAAGAAATATATTTAGATATTTATTGTATATTAGACGCCATCAACAGAAGACAGCAACCAGATAGGCCCTCCTATAGTGGGTTTGTATAGGTAAGTGTTGGAGATTTAAAACCTACCCTTTGCGCCATCAGTCTGCGCTCCAATAAACTCCTGGATGTGTCGTATGTTTAATATCCCAGTCCGGTTAGAAAGTGATTTAGTGGTAAGATTCCTTTTTCAACCAACTTAGTGAATTCTCCTATTCTCCAATACGGTAAAGAACAAGCAGAAGCATCGGGAGTAGTTTGTGCAATTTTTCTTGTTTTCCTCTTCCAAAAAAAAAATGTCAAGCACCAAACTGAAGGTTACAATCGGCCCATCAACAACCCGCATGTAACTAAACTGTCGTGTCTCATGGCTTTTTGCCACTCCAGCTGTCAATCAAAGCCAGGGGTTGTCAAGGTAATGAATGAATGATGGTTGGTGATGATGATCAAGAGAGGATGAATCTTTTAGCCCGTTTTCTTCCAACAACTCCGCTTCTCCTTTTTGCCTCTGGATCGCTATCTTTTCTTATTATTATTACTGTAAAGAGAAAAGGCAATGGAAATTAAAAGATTGCAATTCAAGATCTTTCTTTCCTCCCTGTAGGTATTTCGTCTATCTCTCGGTCTGAGATGAGTGAGTGTCAGTGAGTGTTGGCAGGTTGGCTGCTAGCTTGCTTATAGAACAGAGTCAGTTTGCAGCGCTGATCGGCGGGAGAATGAAATGACGGAACCCGGAAGTATGGTGGCCATAGCCAGTCCTACAACAGCTATAGAAAGAGAGGAGAGACCAAAGACTGTGATATGCAGAGTATGCATCAGGACTGCTTCAACTCCACATGGGGGGAGCCAAACAACACATCATCTCAACTCACCCAGTTCTTCTCCGATAACAAGAATCAAAACTGCAAGAAAAAAAAAAGGAAAAATATGGATTTGAAATCCTGCCAAGATTTTTTTAATGTCTGCTAAATGCTTCTTTATGAATCGTAGCTCCCAGTGCCAGACGCAGGCCTGCAGTTCCAACAACTATTAGAATATGTTATAAAGTTTTTTTTTTCTTTCAGTCGCCCCTGCGTCAATTTCTCCAGCACTAACTACAAACTCTGCTCCTATTACAGTTGAACTGTATTTTGCAAAATGCTGGTGCGAGTTAAAACAGCCCACTATTTTATTTAAAAATCAACTTCATTTTTAAAATATCGCGTTCTTACATGTAGTAAAGAAGGTTTTGCTATTCGTAATTCAGATAAATGAGAATGTTAGGGTTTAGAGTGAGTTTTAAATGAAATGTAACTACCTGCAACACTTCTTGCGCATCCAGCTCTGGAGCCGTTTTGAATTTAATTTATGAGGTTAAAGCTTGCTTGTTATCTTTGTTGTGGTTGCAGCCTGTGTGCTTAAGAATTAACTCGGTAATGCCTGCTAATGGTGCTGCTAATTACGAAGGGGTTATTTAGCAAATTAAGTGATATGGCTCACCCCTTGAGCACAGAATGAACTTTTCCAAAAAAAAGGGGGGGGGGAGGATGAGGGGGGGTCCAGGAGGGGGCTTTTGTAGGGAAAGTAATTTTGTATGTTTCTTTCGTCCAATCCCCTCCCTAGATACAAATCCATGCCTTACCTCAGAGTAGTCAATTATCAAAGCTCCCAGAGATCATCAATCATAGGGAGCGCTTGAAGTTTAGAGGAGGAGCAATGGTCTTGCCATCGATTGCCAGTGCTTTGGCCTTTTTTCCTTTTCATTCACGCTCCTTCGCGCACAAAACCTAAAGCAGGCCATCTATCCCCTTTAATATTTAGCTTCATCAGTGATAATGTACCCTGTTGTGCATATGACATCATCGTATATTGATAGGTTTTCACATACATTGTTAAATATATGCCTGCTTGGCATATTTGATTTTTGAAAATTAAACATGCACCGTATGAATCTGTTCACTTATTCTGGGAAAGGGGAGGAGGAGGCTTTAAGGTCAATAAACTCCCCAAAAAGACAAATGCTTGAGTCCTTGGGATGATAATAGTTGCAGCAATTAAACAGTTTGATTAAATGAGGCATCATAACAACAATTATGCTTTTAGGAAGGGGGGGGGGTCGCTTCTTGTAAGAAGTAGTACTGTAGGGTTGACAAACGGCAGTGGACATTTCAATGCGCTATAGCCTGTGAAGGAGCTATACAGTGTGATCCTGCAGAGCGGCATGGCAGTCTTTCTCAAATACTTTAGCTTCTGTTACACTGTTTAGAAAATCAGAGTCAAGCAAGCCATTGAAGACCAGCCGTTCATTTAACGATCTCCAGCTTATAAATGCGTTCGTGCACAATGTCTTGTATACTAACGCTTCACTTTTTTTTTTCCGGACAAGAACGGTAAGTGAATTCTACGTCCTTTGTTAAGAGTGAATCTGGCGTAACTCGGAATAGACCAGTGGCAGAAAGTTAGGAGCTAGGGTGTTATTTGTTTCTGTGCTATTTTTAAAGCGTATTATTATTATTATTATTATTATTATTATTATTATTATTATTATTATTATTATTATTATTATAGCCATGGCTGTTTGGTGCACTTTTGTGGAACTGTTTTAAGAAATTGAGAATTGTTATTAACTCGCAGCTATTTTTTTTATTTAGGAATGTAGTTCAGTAGATTCTAAGCGGATAACTATTTGTAGAAGCAGATTCAATTATTCATGAGTTTTGTGTAGTTCGCCATGTGTTTGTTAACACTTAAAATTATATTTGTGTTCTTATTATTTATTCATTGCATGCCGGGCACATGAAAAACTGGTTATGTGTAGTAGATTTCTAATTTAATTTTAAAACGTACATAATGCCAATTTAGTTTTGAGCCACGGAATTTATTTCTGAGAACCACATAGATTCCTATTGGGCACATAATTGCGGTACTCTTTTATGTACCTTTATGTACAATTAAAAGTGTATAGCAGAATGCAAATTACTAAATTTGTATCCTTGGTATGCTGATAATCCTTACCCTACATAACTTCTAACATGTCTAATCTGCCCTTGTATAGTTATAAAATAGTTATACATTGTCTATACATTTCGATATGATATTACAGTGAAGATTACAATCAACCTGACATTTTAGAAGTTTTCCAGTCTTTACTTTATTTTAAGCTTTGAAAATATAAAGTATTCATACATTTTGTCGATCTAGCGCTGCACTTTGTCTTGTGTAATAAAGCAGCCCTTGAATGAAATTAACAAAAACACATTCACGTGATCCTCATTGTACTTCATATTGTTTTTTTAATATTCATAACAAATAATGATGCTACCGTAAATACACGCACATATCTATTTATTTATGCACATGATAGAAAAGCGCAAAACAAACCTTACAAATGCATGTGACTGTGCAATCCCAAAATTATACAATGTTTAACTGTATTTAAATGTCCGAGGCAAGTTACATACAGATCTCTACTTTCCAAGTCACCTTAATTGAGAACACTATGCATGTCGAATGAACCCATTCCCGATCTGAATGAAATCTTGTAGTAAGTTAAGAAACGTACAAATGAAAATCCGTGTGTGTTGAAGTACAACTCCGTCAACGTACAGATCTTTCGCCTTTGCTGAGGATGGCTTTAGCAGGCGGTAAAATTTCATCTCGTGGTGTCAAATTGGGGTCAGTTTAGGGTTAGAGCTCTCGGTGTCCGAGTGGGACCTGCCCAGCTGTGTAGGGATTCATTAAGGGCCAGGGATCCATTTCAAGAAAAATACAACTAAGACAATCACTAGGCTAAAACCCACTCCGTGTCACATCCTACAAGCGCACCATAACAAACATTCCAAACTTCAATGCTGATACCGTTGTCCGATTCAGATTCACTATAATCCGCATTGTTTACTTAAAGCACACACGCAGAATGCACAAGTATAGCGTCGTACTTGGAAAATCGTTGTATTAAAGCTTAAAAAAAGAAAACGCGTGGTTTAAATCCTATTAGCGTCCAAGTATTCATTTGTTGCAACAATTGATACCTTACTACAGGAACAAACAACATTGTCCGTAATCTTGTTTGTAACTTTGTTCTGAGTTTGTTTGTCAGACTGATTATTTGAGATTGTGTAAATATAACCGATGTATTAACATAGGATACTGATAACAAGGTCACAAGAGCTTTGGAAATGATCGCATTTTTCTTAATTTCTTTAAAGATTCGGTAATGCTGGTAATCTTTGATAGCCTATGAAACGTGCTTATTTTATTGGAATGCCTTTCATTTCTCATTTCAACCGATCTCTACTGTGACTGAAATGCTCATTTAGTATTGTAACATGACTTCATATCTGGTTTGCGATATCGAATTTTTGTCTTCAAAACTGCGATTATTGTTATTCCTACGCGTAACGCTAGTTTGCCAGTTTGCAGTCTTTATTTATTGTCTGTGGAAGCTCACACTAAATTTTGAATTTGAAAACACGAAATTAATTCAAATATAGCTTACATTAGAAAACAACAACCTTTCTCTACCTTGTGGTTTTGATTTGAGTTTGCTAAGCGAATTTACTCTTCTGGCTTTCGTTTCATATTTCTCGAAATGAGCATGCATTGTTTGTATACATTTTTTGCGTTGGTCTCAAATTGTTTTTTATTCTTCGTAATGGGTTGTCAATATGCAGTCTTTTCATTTCTGAAAGCCAATGTTATCTCATAAGGCTGAACTTTTCTTGACCCTGATCTCGAAATGCGAGGAGACTGCCACAAAGTGGACTGAGGAACTCAGAAACTTGTAAAAGTTTCGCGACTGACTGTAAATTCCAAAGACTATTTTTTTCTGCCCTGATTCGCATACTATACTTTCGACAAAAAAAGCACTGAAAATGCAACCATGTAGTTCCATAGAAAAAAATCTAAGGGATTCTTACTTGAAACCACTTAAGAAATATTACCAAAATATGCAGCCCTATAGCGCTATCTGGCGGATTGATCTGAACACCGACTTTTGTTAACTGCTATTCTTTTACATTTGAAGTACGGTAGTTTTCCAAACGAATTTTTCTTCTTCGTGTTCACTGCTATTACCTTTATCACTTTTTTCTATGATCCGATTTGATATAATCTGGAAATCTGAAATACATATTTTCTCAGTCCTATACAAGTTTTAAGAAAAATAGTAGTCTATGAAAAATGGAGGCTGAAACCAACCGTTTTATTTCAGTTTTAAAGCTTATTTTGGTTTCCTCTAAATGTATTCCTCTTTTATAGATATATGTATAGCATTATCAAATGTATTTGTTTAAATAGAAGATGCTAAGTCTATATTTTAATCCTATACATTCCTTTAAATTATTTATGAAACATTTTAATTCTACCTGTTATATCAGGAAATATTTAATGTATCGGAAAGGTTAGAGAAAACAGGCTTAGTTGTTAATTGTAAAGTTGTCAGCTAATTCTTTTATTTTCAAGTTTCAGAATTGGGTATATACAACGCAACGTATTAAATGTAGGCCTAAACATAAATATCTGCAACTGAACATAAAAAGCTGCCCTCACAATTTCGAAGCTAACGTTTAATAAAACGGATATATATTTCAAATGAGAACTCCTCTTCCTAAACTTAAATTAGCATATTTTTTTCATAAAAATGAATAGCAAACGGATGTTAATGATGGTCATTAAAGCGTCTTTTATCGTAATTATCAGAGTATTACAACTTGAACCCGTACTAACTCCAAAATCCAATTAGTAACATTTGGAAGCACAGTGCCTACTGGTTACCGGTTTGATTACATATATCTG